GTATGCGATCCCTGGCACCACTCGTTGGGACAAGATGAATCACAAATGCTTCAATAGCGAGCTACCATGTCACAGGGAGCCAGATGGAGGTGGTTACTTCCCTGATTGATTGCCTCTTGGGCTACCAAGGGCTTTTCCAGCAGGCTAATGCCTTTCTGTTGGCACTCGAGCACCCGGGAGCAGCACGTCCGCCTGGGTCAGCACCACACAGGAATTCTTGCCTCTTGGGCATGTGGCCATCCCCACAGAGGGAGAAGGAAGTAAATAAGAAGCAAGGGGGAGCGGGTGCCTACAAGGCACCCCCAAGTAACACTGGCTTCCGATGCCTCCCTAATAGATGTGGCTGCTAATGAATTTTCAGGCACGTGCTGAGTGAACAGGGGTGAACAACGCTGAAACATCCTTTAGTTAAACCCAGTGCTTTACAAAGGCTAATTGAAAAAGGAAGGAGCGGCAGGGGTGGGGGGGTGGAACAAGGCAGAAGAGGGGGTGGAGGGGGAAAACAGCTCTATTTTTCAAGTGCTGAATGTGAAATCCCTGCAACAGATGAGTTTACATGCAAGCCTGCACCTCATCAGGGCAAAGATACAGTGAGTGAAGTCAAGTAATTTTCCTCTGCATGCAGCATCCCCAACCCCTTACCCTGCCCAGCCAGCTTTCTCAACTGTGAGCTGTAGAATATAAACAGCCAATAAGTAAGGACAATAACTGTAGTTCCTGCTGAGAGCTAACTCTGCCTGTCATGCATTTGCTGGGTCCTAATACAGGACAGTGAATAAAGCTTCATTACAGAACAATGGAGTTAGCTGCCAGAGCCTACAGATTTGAATAAACAACAAATAAGCAACATCTGCTCCAGCATATGTGTATGGTAAAAAAAAAAGTCACAAAATAAAAGAATTTGTAAATGCCAAAAGCAACACTAAACTGCCAGTGCTACTGTAGAGTGAATTTTTAATTGCACATGCATACAGGCAGGCTGTGGGTATTAGTCTCACATATGTCTGGTTGCTGCCAACCTGGGAGTATAGATGAATTTAATTAAATAAGGATTATCCCTTCTCCCCAGTACAATTACTTATTTATAACAATGATAAAATTGCCTAATAAAAAAGATTGTAATATTTTTTAAAACAGAGCTAGAAAACACTCTGCTTTCCCTGTAAGTCATTCAGGGATGTTTGGGGGGTTTGAGCGTCTTTTAAAATTAAGTCTCAGCGTTCTGCCAAGAGAGAAGGAAAAAAAGCCTTATCATAAAGCCTACTGCAGTTAAACAGCCAGAATCTACATTATGGAGAAATATAAAGAAGACACACAGCAGCCAGGGAATTGGCTTTCATGGGGAGTGTAGAAAATTAAGCAATTGGACTAAAATTGAGGCCAGACTACAGAGCCAAGGGACAATACCACTGGGACAAGCACTTCCATAAGTCACCCGGCTCTAATATGCTCCATTTAGGCAAAGCAGTCTGTTCCTATCTATCTCTATTTCTTCTCATAGTGGGCACCTCACACTTCTTTGAGCAAGTTTGCTGATGACACCAAACTTGGAGGAGTTGTGGACTTGAATGAGGGTGGAAAGGCCTTGCAGAGGGATCTGGATAGGTTGGAGAGCTGGGCGATCACCAACCGCATGAAGTTCAATAAGAGCAAGTGCCGGGTCCTGCACCTGGGATGGGGAAACCCCGGCTGCACGTACAGACTGGGCGATGAGATGCTGGAGAGCAGCCTAGAAGAGAGGGATCTGGGGGTCGTGGTAGACAGCAAGTTGAACATGAGCCAGCAGTGTGCCCTGGCAGCCAGGAGGGCCAACCGTGTCCTGGGGTGCATCAAGCACGGCATCGCTAGTAGGTCGAGGGAGGTGATTGTCCCGCTCTACTCTGCGCTGGTGCGGCCTCACCTCGAGTACTGTGTGCAGTTCTGGGCACCACAGTATAAAAAGGACATGAAACTGTTGGAGAGTGTCCAGAGGAGGGCTACGAAGATGGTGAAAGGCCTGGAGGGGAAGACGTACGAGGAACGGCTGAGGGCACTGAGCCTGTTCAGCCTGGAGAAGAGGAGGCTGAGGGGAGACCTCATCGCAGTCTACAACTTCCTCGTAAGGGGGTGTCGAGAGGCAGGAGACCTTTTCTCCATTAACACCAGCGACAGGACCCGCGGGAACGGGGTTAAGCTGAGGCAGGGGAAGTTTAGGCTTGACATAAGGAGGGGGTTCTTCACAGAGAGAGTGGTTGCACACTGGAACAGGCTCCCCAGGGAAGTGGTCACTGCACTGAGCCTGTCTGAATTTAAGAAGAGATTGGACTGTGCACTTAGTCACATGGTCTGAACTTTTGGGTAGACCTGTGCGGTGTCAAGAGTTGGACTTGATGATCCTTAAGGGTCCCTTCCAACTCAGGATATTCTATGATTCTATGATTCTTTGCTCAGGTGAGATCCCATTTCAGCAGGGTCCTGCCAGGCTCTCCCATCTTCATTGCTGCTCTCATAACCCTTTCCAACAGAGTCCACAACCAAATACGAGTGGCTCCTTATGGTATCAGGCACTGCATGAGCCTTGAAAAAGAGGCAATCTATGCCCCAATGGATTTACAGTCCAAATCTAATTTCAGACATGCTCTCCTGGGAGCTGAGGTTTTCCTTGCATAGGCTACCAATGGAACCTGGACCCTGTTCCCTACTGTCTCCTGCTTTGAGGACCCCTGATTATCAATCTGACACAAATTCTGCTGATTTGGTAGGAATTGTTGTAAGATCTAGGTATTATTCACTACTAACAATACTGCATTCATAATTGGCAATTTTTAGACTGCTTCCATGGTATGCAGCAAATTGAAGTTGTAGCAAGAATCCCATGGGTATGGAGTATGAACGCCATTTAAGAGCAGTGGGAAAAAGAGAGAGAATAGAAATAAAGCCCATAAAAAAAAAGACTGAAATTGGTCTTTAAATTTAGGCCAAGCATTAATAACTCTAAAACAACAGAGGAAGAGAGATTCCAGTGTTTTTAAAAAAAAAGTCTAAAATAGTATTGTGGTGCTATGAAGGCATAAATAATACATAAGTTCAGTTTAATTGTATAATATAGTGATCACTTAACTGGAGGACAGTCATACCAGGATCAGAAACAAATTATTACTTTCTGCATTCTTTGTTTTTTACTAACAATTTTACTACCAATTACTACCAAGTACATGCTTATTCCTATGACTTCAAAGACTACTCAGTTATCTTTTTTTTTTTCTTACATCATGATTAATATACCTATTTAATCTCCAAAATCCTTTAACTAATGCCTCTATCATTAAATAGCACAGTCATTTTTACATCTGGGCAAAGAAAGGAAAAAAAAAAACAAAACATTTGTAAGTATGATATCACATTTTGATTTATTTATTTTTTTTTCCCATCAGGATATGTCCACATTCTCTTTTGTTCATTTCTCAATGAATTTTTGCCCAAATGGTGTTTTGCATTGCACGTGTCCTGGGGATCTGCTATTCTTTGCACAGATACTGCTATGAGCACTGGTATGGGGCTTGCCTTTGTTCATAAAGATCAAGACACCCATCAGAAAACAAAATAAAAACAATGTCATATAACTCAGGTGACAAATCACTGAGCCTGAATTGCGTCAGGGACCTGACATTAACTCCCTTCATTGGAGTCATGCAGTGATAGACTGAAGACATACAACCCTGCCAGAAGATGTGCCATAGGTATGCAATTTATTATAAAACAAACAAATGACAAAAACAACAACAACAACAACAAACATTCAAAATAAAAAATAACCCCCTGTCATCCAAAGGATTCATGATATACTCCATCATATTTACTCAGCTCTACCAATTACCAAGAAAACCCCACACACTTTGATAAAATTGCTGGCCTATCTGAAGTTAGTGGGACTTATGCCACTGGCTTCAAAAGGCTCACTCCTGTACATCCAGCTGTCACTCCAGCCAATGGCATCCATGAACGATCAGCTCCAGTGGCTATCTGAATTTTTTTAGATATCTGTGTATGAAGCTGGGTTGATTAATTATTTGTGCCAGCTCTTCAAAAGTGATATAACACAGTCCTCAAAAGTTGAGGGCTCACCAGGCTTTCACTTTTGTCCCTTGTTGTCTGATTCTTGGTATTTATTTCTTCTTTCATATAAAATTCCTTTTCAATTACAAAAAAAATAAAAATAAAAAATGTAATAGTCCTGCTCTAAGCACTGGTTAGCAAGGGTTACTAGGGAGCAAGGCCAAACGCTCCCTGTTCTGGAGGCTGAACAGCCTTCTTCTCCAGTACCACCACCCCTGTCAGAAAATGCTTCTCAGGATCCAAGCTCATATTGCCCCAGATGACAGTATAACATCTGGTCTAACAGCTTTGTGTTTAATCCTGTCATATACTACTCAAACAACTATTTCCTAACATGATTCAATGCTATGTCTGCTCATGTGATGATAGTCTATGTGATAAAGGAGATTCAGATGATGGAGTAGAAGCCATGCTGCCACCAGAATGCCCTGGTTGCATAGCCTTGGCTGAACTGCATACAGAATGGTTGCAGAGCTGCTAACTCCAACCTCCCTGTTGACTTATCTCCTAAGATCCTAGGATCTGAGATCTGGTAGATATGGGGTCATTCAGATCTGGCAAATGAGTCCCCGAGTGGGAGTGAAGCTTTGGTGTCACTGGTAAGAGTAGAGTGGTTTGCTTAAAGCATCAGGTGGAGACCCCAAACCCTCAGAACAGTGCATATGAAATACCCTTTTCAGGTGTACACTCCGTGTCTCACTGACAAGGTGAGTACATTTTACAGTCCTGTCATTTATCGGGTCTTGACTGGCCATGCTAGATTGGTATGTCTAGAATAATGCATCCAATGCCAGAGGTGATGGGAGCAGAGTGGAAAAACATATTCTTATAAGCTTTAGAAGCAACTACATGAGAACACCACTTTAAAAACAAATCTGGCAAAATGTCTGTTTCTTAACACTCACCTGAAGTGGTGTCAGGAGCATTTCCACATGGAATTTCGTCATCAAAGCTCTGAACCTGAAAATGAAGAGGAAAAATTCTTATCTATGGTGATGATTATTGCCAGGGACAGGGAGGGGGTTGGAATAAAAAATATCTAGACATTTCAAAGTGAAAACATTAAATCTTTCAGATGGTTCTTTTTTTGGTTGTTTCCTTTAAATATATATGTCTCTCTCTGTGTGTATGTGTGTGTGTGTGTGTGTGTGTTCTTGACATAAAGTAGGCTCTAGTCTCTGAAGCTTCCCTAGCCTTCCTCAGATAATCAATACATACATGTTCCTAACCTGTAAATACACTAACAATCTTGTCTGAACAGCCTCAGAGAAAAATTTCCCCCTAGAAAAATTTATGACTAAGTAGAAGAAACCCAAGGAAATGTAGCCATATGGAGGCAAAATCTTGCCAAAGAGTGTATGTAAGGTCAGATCAGAATTTTTTTTTTTTTTTTTTCCTCTAGGAATTGTGATCTATTTGTCTTTTTCATGGTATCAATGGGAACATTATGTCATGATACTGCATAATCCTCCTTCAGAAAAATCCTTATGGAAAAAGGGACCCATTACACAAAAGTAATGCGTACACATGCATGCTAGGTGTGGGTTAGATGCAGTCTGCAGGTCAAGACATCTCTAAATCCCTTTTTGTCAAAGGCCAGAAAGGGAAGAATCACTCTATACCCATGTTTCTTATTCTCTTCTGTAGACATCTGCTACAGGCCATTGTTAGACTAATGAGCTAGGTGGCCCAATGCTTTCAGCTAGTACATGGTTCTTACAGCCTTAGTTTTCTTAACGATGTGGTAGAGAATACCCAGAAGTTAAACAATGCATACTGAGTCTAATTTAATCTTATAACATTCATAAAATTGTCTTAGACGTCAAACTGAGGAGTACACTATCATCTGCATTCACTGCCCTGTCAATGTCTTCACTTTTGCATGAGCCTCTAGTCACAGAGCTGCAAGTCCAGCATGATAAGTACTTTATGAAGACATATGGGCTACTTCGGGACTATAAATTTGCTGTGCTGGAGATCTCTGGGAGAAACCTTCTTCCTTATCAAAGCTAATAATCAGGCCCTTGCTCTGACTCTTGAATCAATTCTGCAGATATAAAGGCTGCACCAAACCTTTCACAGAAAAATACCCTTGGAAGGGACTTGAAATGATAAATATCCTTTCTTCATGAAGAATGCCACCACCTTAACCTGACCTTTCCAATACTTTCAGAACTGTAAAACTTTTTTAATGCCTCCCACCTTTTCAGGCTTTTTGCTGTTCCTCCCTCCCTCCCTTCCTTCCTCCCTCCCTTCCTTCCTTCCTCCCTCCCTTCCTTCCTTCCCAAGTTCCCTAATTTTTCAGGGGGGCAACTGTCTAAGTTCTCCTTATTTCTTTGTTATTTCTTTGCTTCTTACAATTGAGTTGTAAGACCCTTTCCTTTTCCTCACTCTTGAAGGATGGCTGGAAAGGATAGATGAATGGGTGGATGGGTGGGTGGGTGGGTGGAAAGGGAAGAGTATTCTTGTCAGCATCCCAGTGAGTCTGTATGATTGGAGATTGTCCTACTGTAGCCTTTTTTCTGCAGTTGTGTGGCCAGAAAAACTGCTGCTGACACAATTCTAGGTGTAAGAAAGGGACTGGCAAGTATCCTGGTCTCTGCTACTTCATGCAGAACCCCACTGACAACCCACTGTTGCTAAAACATATAGATAGCTGTGCATCCTGGACTTTGCAGACAGAAGATATGAGAACAAGCTGCTGTTCTGAGTTAGTTTGTTTTTAGGATGCTTGGCTTACAGAGTGATAAAATATTTCAAACACTGCTATAAAACCAAGGCTAATTTTGTGATGAAACATTCTGAAAGAGCACACCAGAACATGAACACAGGGAAAAAAGAAAAAAAAATGGTTAATGACTGGATCTGTAAAAATATCCTTTACCATATGTATTAGTGTTCCTGCAACTTCCTTCTATAAAACACACACAGACACACAAAAAAAACTAGCATTGCATAAAACATATTGGCATCTTACACTATCATACTGGTTGAACGAATCCTACCTCAGTAACTTCAGTGCCAACTTCTTTGACAATATCCCAACACAAAGACAATTTAAAACAATCAAAACCCCAATGAGCACTATAAATCCCACTGTTTTTCCCCATAATGCTACAGCGTGGTGTTTGAAGTAATTTACTCTAGCTTCCATCCTGAAAAAAGAATCCAAACTTATACAATAAATACGGGTAGGGAGACATTACTAGCATGCCATACGCAAAAATCTACCTCGCCTCTTCCATTTCAAATGAGTCTGGAGGCTTGCAGTGTAGGCCTGCTGCTTTTTTGAGTGTGTGGGCCAGAAGCAAATGTGTCTCTCTTCTTGGCCTGTCTTTGTCAGGTACCTCACATCCAGAAGAAAGGTGGGGCTGTTTAGTCACTAAATGTGATGAAGCCCAGGTTTTCCCTGGCAGAGCTGGTGGACACTGCGATACTGGGTATGCCAAGGAACCTTTGTCTCTGGAGGTTTGCTCCTGGGTCAAAGAGCCCAAGGTAACGTGCAGAAAATCCCACCTGGATTGTTCCCCTCTCAGCAGTATCTGTACAAGGGTGAGGCTGCTCTTTCATGCCAGGCAGATGGACTTCCCCAGGTGCCAGCGAGCCCCGTTTCAGTAGTGCTGTCTGCTGAGAAGCCCGTCTCAGGAGCTGGCCTATTCTTCTCCTCTTTGCTTGTGTGACCACAGCTCTGGTCTTCGCAGCACCCAGGAGGTCAGTCTCAACCTTGCCAGTGTCCTGGGCCATGGTCTGTTGGGTGTTCACATTAGTCAGCAAAGATGAGAGGGCATTAGTGATGTGGTCAAGCACTTCCAGTTGTCGAAAACGTCCTTAAGTTTGGCAGAAAGGAAGGTAACATAGTTATTAAAAATATAATTCAAAACAAATAATCAGGTACAATGGTTATTCAAACCCCTCACTGCCAAGAAACATACAAAGTACCTGACTCAAAATTGGCTGAAGTTTTCCATTTGCTTCCAGAAGATCCATTCAGGCTATATATGTTTCACTGCACAGTTTTTATATCAGACGAACACTTAACAGTGTTGAAATCATTGGGTCAAGTACAGCTGAATGCTGTGTGAATAAAGGTTACAGAATCCTGCCTAATATTCTCCAGCTGGCTGGACCAGACTCAAGTGCCATATTTAAGAACTTATTAAAATTCATGTGATAAGGTTATTAAAATCTGATCTTAAATATTTACAGCTGGCTGCTGTCCAGGATAACTGAAAAATGTATATATCCTAATAAATATATACTGATAAAAATTGATGATACATGCTATGTCCTTGATTTCAGAACAGCATAAAGCAAAACTCTTATCCCCTGGAAACTCATAGAGGATATTGTACAGAGGTTACCATTTATTTTCATTGTATCGAGCTTTTGTAATTTCTGCATCACTTTTTCCGTAGCATAACATTTAAAAAGAAGTGAATGATGTTTTTCTTAAGGGATCCTGGACATATCCATCTCTACAACACTATCGAGTTATTTATACAAAGAAATGAAACACATTTGCTTGCGCATTATGTCAGCAACCGTCCTGAGGCAATTAATATGTCACCAGGACTTCTACTTCCTTGAGAGATTCCTTGAGGATAGTAGATGGCAAAATGCTAACATTCTTGGCTGCCATTTCTCTTAGAGAGCAGCTAGATTTACTGCATGCATGCTGTTGGTAATGCTGCCTCACCAACAATTAGACAACAAGGGGATATTTAACATGGCTCTGAGTCAGTCCTCTGCATCAGGGACCAATACCATGATGTATAATTCCTAATAATTACCATATCTCAATAATATTATTTTTTTCCCCAGATATTGTCTGATTTTTAACACTGGAAGATGTTGCCATTGCTAACACTTTTTATGACATGGTCAGAAGTGTCACCTGATGCTTTTTAAAGGACATACTGATCTACTGGTACATCATTTTAGATAGTTTTCATTTGCATAAGTTTGGAAAGTCACAGTACATCATTTCTGGTTATGTACATCTACTGTGCTACCACATGCTCCCCATGTAAAGCCATTCTAGCCTCAGTATTTTATCTGGCTCCCGCTACGTCAGGCCATAAAAATGCCAAGTGCTAATCTGCTTTGAATGACAGTGGCAGAGCAGTCCAGACATTCTGATTTGAAACAGAATCAAAACTGCTGCAAGTTGAAATAGCTTTGGTAAATTATATCCAAGAGATTGTGACACCTAAGGAACAAATCAAACAATGAGCAAAATGATAAATGAACAACAACAAAAAAATCCCCTCACTCACGTGCAATGTCATGAAGAAATTATGTCAGGGACAGCTTTGCCTTGTGGACTATTTCTTTCCAGGCAAGCTGTTGCTTTGGTTTCTAAGGGTGCTCCTCAAGGAGTACACCTCAAACAGGCAAGAGGCTGATATGAACAGTTTAGTTTTTTCAGCGGGCTGCAAAATGGTCTAAATCTGTACCACATATGAAATACTGAAGGATGTAACTGTGGATTCATTTTCACTAGAAACTTCAGAAGAATCAGCAAATGGCTTTGCCATAAACAAGATCAATGAATCTTCAGCTGAATCTATATTTTTCAGAGCAATTCTAATGAATTTATAATCTCCCATTTTAGAATTTAGGAGGAGAAGCTCACAGTTTTGTTCCTCCTTCCCTAAATCCAGTATTGCACAGGCTGACACAGTTATCTGCATAAAAGATTTGGAAAGTCTTCAAAAGGCTCACAGAAGAATGAAGTAACACAGTTTTTCCAGAGCCGCTAAGAACTTTTCAGTCAACTTTTTTTTTTTCCCTTCACAGGAAACTGCAGAATTTGGAAAAAAAAAATAAAAGATTTCAGTGTTAAATAAATAAATAAATAAATAAATGGAAATTGATGTTTTTCTTCAAGAAAAATCACAATGAAATTTCAGCATTTTCTACTTGTCATATATTAAAATACTTTCCTTTTTTAGATTGTTTCTTTGTGAGCCTTGGCAATACTGTCATTGCTTGAACCAAAGCTGTAGCTCAAAGAATGTATTTAGCAATTTACATTTAATTTCTCTTCTAGGGATGGGTTTACTGTCTGATATATATCTCTAGTGATTTGTGCACATCCTGCCTAGCACAACTGTTCAACTGTGGTTGTCACAGGACAACCATATGTCATGGAAAATGGTGTCTGCTTAATACATCACAGAGGAAAGTGAGACTTGAACAACTCCTTCAGTGAGGTGCTTGCAGCAGCTAAGACACCCAGATCAAGGTAATCCCAAACCTGAACACAGGATGGGTGACAGGTTAATAGAGAGCAGCCCTGCAGTCTCTCTCTGCGCTGGCACTAGCACTTGGGGGTGCTAGTGGGTGCAAAGCTAAACATGAGCCAGCAATGTGCGCTTGCAGCCCAGAAAGCCAAGTGTGTGCTGAACTGCATTAGAAGAAGTGTAGCTAGCAAGTTGAAGGAGATGGTAAACTTCTCCCTCTGAAGAGGTAGGGGTTATTTAGCGTGGAGGAGAGAAGGCTCCAGGGAGACCTTTAGCAGCCTTCCAGCCTTCCTTTAGCCTTCCAAAGGGGCCTAAAGAAAGATGGCAGAAGACTCTTTATCAGAGAGTATAGTGATAGGACAAGGGGTAACGGTTTTCACAGAATCACAGAATTTCTAGGTTGGAAGAGACCTCAAGATCGAGTCCAACCTCTAACCTAACACTAACAGTTCCCACTAAACCATATCCCTAAGCTCTACATCTAAACGTCTTTTAAATACTTCCAGGGATGGTGACTCCACCACCTCCCTGGGCAGCCTGTTCCAGTGTCTAACAACCCTTTCGGTAAAGAAGTTCTTCCTAACATCTAACCTAAAACTCCCCTGGCGCAACTTAAGCCCATTCCCCCTCATCCTGTCACCAGGCACGTGGGAGAACAGGCCAACCCCCACCTCACTACAGCCTCCTTTAAGGTATCTGTAGAGAGTGATAAGGTCACCCCTGAGCCTCCTCTTCTCCAGGCTGAACAAGCCCAGCTCCTTCAGCCGCTCAAAAAAAAAAAAAAAAAAAGTACATTTAAATTAGATATAAGGAAGAATTCTTCACAGTGAGGAAGGTAAGGCACTAGAACATGTTGCCCAGGGAAGCTGTAGCTTCCCCATCCGTGGAGGTGTTCAAGCCCAGGTTGGATGGTCTTTGGCCACCTGATCTAGTGGGAGGTGGTGTCCCTGACCATGGCAGAGGGTTTGGAAATGGGCAACTTTTAAGGTTCCTTACAAATCCTTCTATGATTCTATGAAATTGGTAAAAATCTCCCAGGGAAAAAAAAAAAAAAAAAAAAAAAAAAGAGGTAGATTTAGATAACACGGTATAGAAAAGTGGTACTTTTTTTTTTTTAATTGTAAAATTTAAACATTTCAAGACTTTTACACTAAAATGTTCATAAACCTGAAGTTTTCAGAGATGTTTTTTGAACAACATAGTCAGAAGCATCATTATTTTTTACTTAATGTAACTTCTGATTCTCAAGTGACTTTATTCCACCAGTTAGGAAATCAAATGTTACTTCTGATGACATCAGTAAAATTTTCACCAGTGAGTGATGGAGATAAGCTTTTCTTTTGGATCTGAGCTACCTAAAGGGTGACTGATGTTTTTGAAAATGCAGCTTATTTTTGTGAACTGAACCCTTCAAAAACTCTGACAACACTGAAGAATCAGCACCAAGCAAGGAGACAATTAACAAATAACTCTGTAACAATCCCCATGCATTTTAAAAGGTCAGATCAACAATGGAGCAGCTCTAGAAAACTATTTTTGTCACAAGCAGGGAAGAGGCAAACAGAAAGAAAAGGATTGCACTAGGAAATGAAGGAAATATTAAAGTGGAGAGATCATTGCTATGAAAGTCATCGGTCCCTCTCAGGTTCCTCCTCTTCTTTTCCCCTCCAGGTTTGTTGTCACCCATACTATACCTATTATCCTCCCCATCGGTCCCTTTCTCAGACTAACACGTCATACTAAATCAGTTAGCTTTCTGTGCTGTTTGAGATAAAAAGAGAAAGTAAACTGACAACGAGATAATCTCTCCGGCATTCACTAACCAAAACTAAACACTTTCTGCAGACAAATTAGAACAATTCAGGCTATTTGCATTGAAATAGTTTGTTGATTATAAGCAGCCAAACCAGGTGACAACAACCAAATTCATCCAGTATGTCTTTGGCAACAGTGGTTTAATAGAGCCTTGAAGTCTCTAGAGATGGTATGCAGTCTGTCTCATTTTGGCACTTTTATTTCTTTCATTCCCTAGTGAGACAGTCTTCCAACAGTAAAGGGTATGAGGTTCCCTAAAAGGTTTTTTAAAACGTAAATGCCATGAAACATCACTAGACCCAAACTTTCTACTTGATTTACAGAGGAAGATCTTTTTCTGTATCTTCTTCTGGAGGCCTTCAAAATCACCTATCTTCTTTAATGCCATTACAGGGCTTCTGCTTTAGAAGAGCTGGCTCATTATGTGTCTGAAAATGTAGGTGCAGCAATAGCATTGAAGGCAGGTAGATCAGATTCCAATCTGTAAATGCAATCTATTTTCAAAGCTATTAAACGTGAATTTTCCACCCCTCCTTCTTGCTATACAACTCACTGCAAAATTATTGGACAACCTAAGGTTGGCAAGATTAGAAAGAACAGCTTGCAAGCAAATGCCTTCAAAGTCCATTTAAGGATATTCCTTATGATTTTGTACACTAAGCCAGGTGCATTCTTATTAGCAGTAAGTCTTCTCTTGGGACACTCGTTGTAGGAAGGTACTTGTGCTGGATTCCTTACATGGTCACTTAGACAGACTGGCTTGTTCTGAGAGGTGTTTGAAATAGTGGCTGGATGATGTGAGGTGCCTGACTCTCTCCACTCTCTATAGAGATGGAGAGACTCTGTGGTGATTAAGATCCTTGAGACTGTGCTTCAGCTAAATACCTATAATTTGATGCAAGGTTTATGAGGTTAATCACCACATATAAGGAAACATGTAGAGTCAGTGAAGAAAGAAGAGGTAAGCATCTCTGAAGGGTGTGAAAACCCCCTCCCAACCTGTCAAAAGCAAGATAATATGTTCTGACGGACATCTCATCCACCAAAATAGAAATTCAGACCTTAATTAACTTCACAGTAACTCCCCCATGCAGATAAGCCACTAAGTGTACTAAGAGTGCTCCCATTGAGAACTACTGCAAAACTAGTCATTAAATTCACACTGTGGCTTACCACTGCTTGCCTTCACTGTGCAAAGTCCTTCTCTTAGAACCTCTTTCCTCTCATTCACTCTAAGATCTGTACCTTCTTCCCTGAGATCTTTATCCACCATCTACTCATACAGATGATCTCCATTCCTCTCTCCCTCTCTTTCAGGAGTTAGAGAAAGAGAGAGTGAGAGCTGAGAAACCTGTCTGATGTGTCAGTTTGCTGTAAATATTGAAATGTGTGCATGGGGCTTGCTATAAAAAAAGAGAGAGAGGGGAAAAAAAACACATTTTCCATGATGCTCTGACATTTCTGTTTCAATTCTTATTCCATCCATACTGCTTCTTTACTGTAATTTTAAATGGGAATGCACGGACTATGCAAGAGATCCTGCTTCACTGAGCATCTTAAGTAAACAGAAGATTTCAAGAGCCATCTGGCTATCCTATGCAGCAAACATGAGGGGAAATGATGTCAAAATTGGACTTTTCAGATGGGCAATATACCAGAGAATTAACAATGCTATTTTAATGCAGATATATCTTCAGGGTGAGGACCTTGCACTCATTTCTCAACTGCTAAATACACAAAATGAGAATTAAAACCATCTAAAGCGAATAAAAATTAAGACTGCATTCTTTAAATGGTGCAATTTTATTGTGCTTAAAATAAGATCCTCATCCATATCTGGCATATTTGAACCACAAAATTGTTAGGGTCTAGCTAGAGATGTATGGGTCTGATACACAAGCTCTGGCAGCCCTTGTGATGGGAAGTTAAGATCTTGTCAACTGCTCTGCACATTTCCTTGTGAGAGAAGGGAAAAAGGAATGCAAGCCCACATCTGGTCCGGCTGAATTCAAAATCCTGCATGTTGGTTTAAACCACCACTGATGGCAGAGACATGTGAGTGTGTTGCTGGTGAAGCGACTGAGGCAACAGAGCCATGTTCTGTTATGCTGGTGGTTATGTTTTAAAATGCCACACACTGGCAGCTAGCTCCAGCAGGTAAATCACAGCCCACAGCTGAAGAGAGCTAAACTGTATTTCACCCACGGTGGGAATTGTTATTACTCCAAATGGGTGCATGAGGATTCTTGTCTCCTGAATATGTGTCCCTTTTTTATGCATTTTCTCTCATAAGCCTCTTCTTCTCTACCCTCTTAGTCCACATGCTGTTTGTTTTACCTCCTGGCTGAAATTTTGCCTTTTGCCAAAATGTCAATGCTTACCATATAGGTTTGGCTGCTCAATGTCCATCCGCTGCTTTTGAGCTTCCAAAAAGACACGGATGTTGATCCCTTTTGCCACAGAAGCACCACTGAGGAACCGAGGAGGGATTTTAGTGCAGACATCAGGTTCTTCTGTACCAAACCCCAAATCAAGAAGAATCTCTACTGGATCCTTTTCCCAGAGTGCCAGCCATTCAGTGATGCTGTGGTGAAAACATCAGGATTATTTACACTACTGTCTAGGTACCACTTTTCTTTCAGCAACTATTATATAGGCTTGTTTTTGTTAAATAATTCTCTTCCCTTCTCCCCTCTTGTGGAGACCACTGCTTAAGTGAAAGTAGTCATTTTCAGTCACAATGCTACAAGTAACACAGGTTTCTTACCCCAGAGGTATTTGGTGGCGTGGTATCCAGAGAGCTAAGCAAGAGGAACATTAGTAAAAAGAGTAGGTTTACAGCTCTGCAGGAAAATTTCTTTCAAGACATGATACAGGGAAGATGCTGCAGCTGCCATAAGACCTTGTAGCTTTTTATCTTCCAATGAATTCAAAGCACACTGCAGTTTCAGGTGAGTTTTTTCTTGTTGTTTTGTCTTTTTATTTTGTTTTACTGGTACAAATGCATTTGAGATCAGACGCTTGTTACTAAGAAGGTCATTTTGATCTTGTTAAAATAAATGAGGAGACGTTTTTTATGAACTAAAACGTGAAAGTGCATGCTCAAAATTGTACTCATATCCGTTGATCACTAAAAGGGCTAATTCCTCCTATTCTTAGCTGGAAATTCATGGAAACAACTAACCTCTGTGGCACACCTGTGACAGAGTGGGCAGAGCTGAGACTGTTGCATCTTGACATAACCGGATTTTCTGAGAACTCTTGCAGGGATCTGGTTGGAAAAAAAAGTCAACAATAAAAAGTGTTTACTCATGTGCTCCTCTGGGATGTCATTATGATTTTTTCCTAGAGTAAACATTTGCATTTTTTCTTGGTTTATAATGATACATAATAGCAATGCCTTAGAAGAAGAGTCGGCATGGGAGCGTGGCAATACGCTTATTCTCAAGAACAGTATGTTACAGTAGGTGTGAGAACGTAGGTGTGAGGTACCAGTAAATGCTAATTATAAAGGTGGCAGAATGGCTCACTTTTGACAGATGGTGAATCTTTCGGGAACCTTTAGGGAGCATGGTTTCTCTAGCCACCTACTATAAGAGATGTAATTACTCTTAACAAAGTTTTGGAGAGACAAGGCACAATGAGCTGGAGCAGCAGGAGTGGCATCTGAGAACAATTCTTTACTTAGCTTCCCATTGTGTTTGTATCCGGTAATCTTGCAGAGAAATATCTGTTTTTTAGAACGTGCTCATTGCAAAAGGAACTAAGCTCTGGCATAGCTGTCTTTCTTAACAGGAACGATGGCATGCATTTGTTAGACCCAAGCTAAATTTTACCTACATGTACCTATCAAGATCAGTAGTAAATGTTTATATACAGAGGAAACATTGATCCATTTTTTCTCATTGCAGGTTATCCCTCAGTTTACGTCTTCAACAAACCGCAAGCAATATGCAGATTTTTGAACTAACAGTGTTGTTATCCATTTGAGGAAAGAAAAAAAGTACTAGATAAAATTCCTCCTTTTGTCAAAAAGAAAAGGAAGAAAAAAGAACTTATAACAGATCGCTACAGTGTCTGACACCTACATCCTGCAACTTTGCACAATTGTAGCATTTCTGGTACCGACAAGGAAACTGCAAACAAGAACTTTTTTTTTTTTTTTTTTTTTTTAATTCGTTCTCTTTCCATTTTTGTCCTTCAAAAGAGAAAATGTGTCAAACTAGAGAATAGATCAAAATATATGTAAAGAAACATTTTAGCTAAAGCGGCAAAGTTGCAGAACAATACCTTTGTGGGAAACTCAACTCATGGTACAAGTTAGTCACAGACAATTGCAACAGAAATCAGTAAGAAGGGGAAAATAGATGCTTTTACATTTCATAAACCATTAGTGATATATTAAGGTTCTATTCTTTAAATGTAGATACTATCAAGTATATTCCACCTTTTGCTACAAAACCACTGAAGATGTACATGCAACAAATAAGATGAAAATACCTTTTCATCCCTGATTTTTGAAGAAAATAATAGTTAAATACATTACTTTAAATTTTAATTCCAGGAAATGCTGGTACAATTTATTTATTCATTTATTTTTTATGAATAACAGTTTTCAGGTGTAATTCCCTGAAGCTGTTGATTATTTTACTATTGATTTCATTTGGTTTTGCATCATAGTCCTAAATGCTTTTGAGAGGAGCACCACAGCTGCAGGACACTTACAAGAATTTCTAGAACAGAAAATATTTTTCCAAGAACTGCTAAAATTGTTTACTGGACTACATGCATGGTATATCTATAAGGTGCAAATTTTATCATTTCACTAACTTAGTTATACTGGCAATAAGTAAGTTGTATGCAAATACGCAGTGCCTGTAGTTATCACTTCCTCTCCTAAAGCTGCAATAACACAATTCTTGATCCTTTGAAAGCTGGGGTAGCATTTGCCTAGGAAAGGCAGTAGATAACTTTCTGCATTGCACAAGATGAATATTTTTGTCTAGGTTTTAAAGTTTTGTTTTCTATTTAACAAAATTATGTCAATAAAAAAGGAGAAAACATCCTTTCATGTTCTCTGCTGGATTATTTTTCCGCTCGTAAATTCTAACATGAGTTCCTTCTGGCTTACTCAGCGCAAGGATATCCATCCAAATTGAGAACATAAAGGTTACTGACATCCTGTAATTTGCTGTAGCAACATAAACCAGACTTTCTAGCAGCAAGCTGAGCATAATTTGAATAAGAATCAGCTACTTGTTGTATACAATTTCCTACTCATGTGCCAACAGTAGCTGTAGATTCAATATAAAAATGCTTCAGAATGTCAAAAATATGATCTAAAAGTGTGGGCTAATACAATTTTTCCCTAGCACAATGTAGGCACTCTTCTCCATAACAGAACATTATACCCCACAACAACAAACTTGCTGCAATTTTTATTTCCTCAATATCTCAGACTGTTGGGAGTGAATGAACACAAGTACTGCCAAATTAAAAATCTATCAGTGTGAAACATTGGCCAGGGTATTAAATAAATAAAGTAATGATGAGAAAGTTGTTGTTTGTAGGAGGCCTTAAGTAGCAACAGGTCACTGAAAAATGAAGGGTTGAGACTCATGATCAAATGCACAAATCTTGGTAGGTTACCATACGTCAGGTAGAGACAGTAGCTGTTTGTGGTTGTACTCTTACACTGGGAAAACACTGGTTGTGACACACTACCTATATTTTGTAGCATCAAGTAAGTTAAACAATGTGCGAAGAACATACAAATGTAGAGTTACGAAGGCTAAGCCACCCAACCTGTTAAGTGACAGTAAACTACTCATGAAACCATATCCACCTCATGACTTGGACAAACTTTGCACTTGCATGGGCTGTCTCATTCATGGCTAGAGTCTCCACTTCTTTTTCGAATGAGAAGATTCTCATGAGACGCTCCTCATTAGAGAGCTTGACATTTTGAAACATTAGAGCTTGTTTTCTCCATATTTAAGAGGTCACAGAAATAGTAATGGGGAGGGTATGGTATTTACATTTCATGATCTGTGTAAGTATTTTATTCCTGACACAAGAAACACTGAATCTCATTACCAAACTGGAAGATACTTTGGGGGAAATAATGCCCTTTAGAAATCTGTCAGAAAATCTTATGAAAACAAACAAACAAACAAAAAATACTTTGTAAACCAACTGTGGTGCTAATTGGTGCTCTGTTTACTGCACATCTAAGTATATCTTTGCTTATGAATAACATATTTTGCTAAGTGAAATGTAGCCTCTGATACTTGAGGGACGATAAAACATTTTAGCCTCAGTGACATCTGAGTAACAGGAGAAAGTATTAAATTGTATATTATTGAACTGCACCTTTTACTTGTGAAACTAATAAACAAAAAGTGTAGATATGGAAGCATTGGGCTCCCAAAAGCACTAAAAATGTGGAAGCTTTCAGGAATTTATAAGGACCTGAGAGGTGATCCGTTCTTTTGGTCTCTTTCCTTTAAAAGTAAATAAATAAATATCTCTGAATTCACTACATTCAGCAAATCAGGAAAGTGGGAAAAAGTGAGAAGTTCTGCATTCGTGTCAGGCACACTTGAACCTCTTGTGCCATAACTTCCAGACCTTTCTGAAAACCAATCCTAAAGACCTCCACTCCTTCAACAGAAGAAAATCAGCTTATGCCAGTGAAGAAGGTGATCCTATGGAAGGAGGAAGACACAGCATATCCATGAACACCAGCTTTTTTCCCGTTGGTGCCTTCCCCTCAGAAGTCTGTGGTATTTGATATTTTGTAGTAAGCCACCTGTAAAAATAATTTCCCTGAAAGTATGACTGCTCTCCTGAGAATAGATTAGGTCTGGGAGTCAACCGGATGGGCAGGCACCCACCCTAATGGCACTTGGGGCATAAATTAGCTGAATGGGGATGGATGTTAGAAGAACGAAGAGCCATAGGCCCATCCTTTCTGCTGCTTCTGAACACCACTTACTTTCTTCTTATCATACACTTGCCTCCGTTAACTGTTGAGATTCAAACCTTGTATTTGTGATTAAGGCAAAGCCCATGAAATTTTAGCATTCTGCATGAGTCAAGCCTGTCACTACTGAACTTAAATTTTACCAAGAATCTAATCAAATCAGGTTACCCAGGGGCAGGAGTGTGAGGAATGGAAGCATAAGCCTTTTTGGTGACATAGTAATTGTTAATGATAATACTCAGCCCTGCAATGCCTACCTTACCATACTCCAAACATCATTCCTAATGCTGTGCCTTTCATTTTTTCCCTTCTTCTTCTCTGGTACAACCTCAACTCTAACCAAAGAGACACAAGCTTAATTTGCAGTGAATGCATGGAGTCCTGGACTCAGTATTTTTCAGTTCATGAGAATACTGGTCTTTCAGAGTTTTTCTATCCTGAAACAGTAGAAAAAGTTGAAATACAAAAATATTGGTGAACAAAATACACACAAATTTAAATAAGTTCAAGGTTAAATTATATTTCCCTATGGTAGCCCATTGCTTCACGGAGCTATAGGTATATATAACAGTGTTAGGTCAGAGGTTGGACTCAGTGATCTTGGAGGTCTCTTCCAACCTAGATTATTCTGTGATAACAACAGTTTCTGCCATAAATCACACTCATGTGGTAAGCTACATCTCCCCTGAGGATGTAGCATTATCAAATTCCCATGATGTACCAAGTAATTTGATCAGAAAGCTACCCAGACACATGATGGAAAATGTTATCCTTCAAAGAATACCCTGGAACTGAACAGAGAACTGTTCTCATGAGACATTGGAACATAAGCAAGGCATGTCAGTTAATACTGACTAGTTGTGAAAGAGTGCTTTGATGCAGGTCAACAAAATAAAATAAAATAAATTATTTGGTTGACATCAGCCAGAGAAAAATAATTTGTTCTGAATTTTTAAGGGGTCACGATTTTCCTAAAGAAAATTTCAATATTGCAGACATTATATCTCCTTTTGGAGAACTCAGGCAACAAATGATTAAGGAATAGTGTGACCAAAACTTAAAAAAAAAAAAAAAATCAAACAGTGAAGAATATTCTCTTCTATAGAGACTTCTAAATACAAAAATAAAAGTAACACCATGCAGGAAGCCTGGGGCAGAGCAAGCAGAGGGTCCAAGGTCTCCTACCATTCAGTTCAGTTTTTTAACCCGAAGGTAAGCGAAGATGACTCAGAAGTATTCAGCTCTTTGCTGAAAAGTGCAACAAACAGGCTTCTTTTCCTTCAGGT